GTGAGCACAGGCAGTTCACCCACCTTGGCCTCCCAAAGTGCTAAAATTGTAGGCATGAGCCACCACGCCTGGACTATGTAATCTAAATCCTTTGTTATCTGTTTAGTAACATTTGCAGCATCTTCATCAGAAGTAGATTCCATATTAAAAAAAACCACTTTTGCCCAGCTGTTGTGGCTCATACCTACAATCCTAGCACATTGGGAGGATTGCTTGAGGCCAGGTGTTCAAGACTAGCCTTTCTATAACATATAAAATATTAAAAAGTATATTCACAAAAATATAAAAAGTTTAAGCAGGTATATCCTTGTAGTCCCAGCTGCTTGGGAGGCCATGGCAGCAGGGCTGCTTGAGCCCAGGACTTGGAGGCTGCAGTGAGCTCTGGTGATGCCACTGCACTCTAGCCCTGGCAACAGATCAAGACCCTGCCTCAAAAAAAAAAAAGAAACCACTTTCTTTGCTCATCCATAAGATTGCTGTGATGTCATAGCTCACAGCAACCTTAAACTCGTGGACTTAAGCAATCTTCTTGGCTCAGCCTCGGACTATAGGTGTGTGCCACCACATCTGGCTAGTTTTTCTACTTTTTAGTAGAGATGAGGTCTCGCTCTTAGTCAGGCTAGTCTCAACCTCCTTAGCTCAAGCTACCAGCCTCGACCTCCCAGAGTGTGAGGATTACAGGCGTGAGTCACCATCCTGGCCATCTAAGTTTTGTCGTGAGATTGCAGCAAATTGGTCACATCCCGCTTCTACTTTTAGTTATCTTACTGTTTCCATAGTAAGGTATCTGTAGTTACTTCCTCCAGTGAAGTTTTCGACCCCTCAAAGTCGTCCATGAGGACTAGAATCTACTTCTTTCAAACTGTTGTTAATATTGGTATTTTGACCTCCCCTCATGATTTGTAAATGTTCTTTATGGCATCTGGAATGTTGAATCCTTGCCAGAAGGTTTTCAGTGTACTTTGCCCAGATCCATCAGAGAAATCACTGTGTATGGCAGCTGTAGTCTTATTAAATATGTTTTTCTTAAATATAATAATAAGATTTAAAAGTTGAAATTTCTCATTTTTTCCTTATTTTAAAGAGATAGGCTATTGCTCTGTTACCCAGGCTGGAGTGCAATGCTATGATCATAATTACTGGGCTTAAGCAATCCTCCCACCTTAGCCTTCTGAGTAGCTTGGACTACATAGATGTGCACCACTGCACCCAACTAATTTTTTAAATTATTTCTAGAAATGGGGGTCTCACTATATTGCCCTGGCTGGTCTTGAATTCTAGGCCTCAAGTTAGCCTCCCACCTTGGCCTCCCCAATGTGCTGGGATTATAGGCATGAGCCAGTACACCCAGCCTGAAATTATTCCTTGATCTGTGGGCTGCAGAATGTATGATTTGTTAGTAGGCATGAAAACACCATTAATCTTGTACATCTCTATTAGAGGTTTTGAGAGAGTAGGTGCATTGCCAATGAGCAATAATATTTTGAAAGGAATTGTTTTTTTCTGAGCAGTAAGTATCAACAGAGGGCTTAAAATATTCAATAAACCATGCTGTAAACAGATATACTGTCCTCCAGACTTTGTTGAGCCATTTATAGAGCACAGGCAGAGTAGATTTGGCATAATTGTTAAAGGCCTGAGGATTTTAGGAATGGTGAATGAGTGTTGGCTTCAACTTAAAGTTACCAGGTACATTAGCATCTAGCAAGAGAGTTACCTTGTCCTCTGAAGCTTTGAATCCAGACACTGATTTCTCCTGGTTAGCTAGGAAAGTCCTGGATGGCATTTTCTTACAGTAGAAGGCTGTTTTCTCAGCCTGGAAAATCTGTTTAGTGCAGTCCCTGTATCAGTGATTTTAGCTGGATCTTCTGGAAAACTTGCCGCAGCTTCTACATCAGCATTTGCTGCTTCAACTCCCGTGTCTGTGTGATGCTAAGATGTCTTCTTTCCTTAAACCTCATGAACCAACTCTGCTGCTTCCAACTTTTCTTCAGCAGCTTCTTTACCTCTCTCAGCCTTCATATAATTGAAGGATTAGGCTTTGGCTTAAGGGAGTATTGTGTCTGGTTCTGTTTTCTATCCAGACCACTAAAACGTTCCCCTTGTCAGTCATAAGGCTGTTTTGCGTTCTTTTCTTTCATGTGTTTATTGAACATTACCTTTGCATTCGCAGCCTGGCTAACTGGCTCAGCTTTCTACGTGCGTTCCTCACTTTCTAGCTTTGATCCAAAAAGGGAAACATACGACTCTTCCTTTCAGTAGGAACACTTAGAGGGCATCATAGAGGTTTTAACTGGCTTAATTTGAATCTTGTTTTGTCTCAGTTAATAGGGAGGCTTAAAGAGAGGGAGAGAGATGGGAAAACACAGTCAGTGGAACAGTCAGAACACATACATTTGTTCACATGAGCCAGGTCTTAGATGGGTGTGATTCATGGTCCTCCAAAATAATAATGATAGTAACATCAAAAATCACGGATCACAGATCACCATGTAATAATAATGAAAATTTGTGAAATATTGTGAGAATTACAAAAATGTAATACAAAGTGAGCTTATGCTATTGGAAAAGTGGTGCTGATAGACTTTCTTAATGCAGTGTTGCCACTTTATTTGTAAAAAACATAGTATTGGCCCAGCACCTATAGCTCAAGCAGTTAAGGCGCCAGCCACATACATCAGAGCTGGCAGGTTCGAATCTGGCCCGGGCCTGCCAAACAACAATGACAATTAGAACCAAAAAATAGCTGGGCATTGTGGCGGGCGCCTGTAGTCCCAGCTACTTGGGAGGCTGAGGCAGGAGAATTGCTTAAGCCCAAGAGTTGGAGGTTGC